TGCAGCCTTTTTCAATCTTTTAATTAAATGATGCTTTTTGCGAACATCACCATTTGATCTAGATTCTCTTTTTAATTCCATTGCATAGCTCCAAGCACGCTCGGCGTTAAACAAAACGATTTGCAAATATCTACGAATTAAATAAATATTTTTTTTAATATGGTTAATAATTCCTGAATTCTTAAACTAAATATTCATAAATAAATCACAATCGTATAAATACATCACCTAATATCATCAAACACTTCGTCAGATATTTCTTTCTTTTGAAAAGACTTTCCTTTTCCGTGAGTAAAATTTAAAGAACTGCGAAGCTGGTGAACCTTTTGCGTACAATACCTTCTAGTATTCCGATAAAGAAATAAAAATTTTGTGCAAGTTAAATATAAGATCGTTTCGCCTTTAAATTTTCTTAAAATTTACCTATAACGCGAATAGTCTTGATGCCTTAAACCATAAGTATTTCTGGCTTCATTAATTAACGCCAAAACTGAAAAAGCAAATTTGTGCTAAGGAATACATTCATATACATAGTTAGATTTTACATGTAACTGTTATATACCATCAATCGAAAAAATAGCGTCTTGCGCTTCCTTGGTCTCTTCAATTTCCATCATATTTGATAACACAAAATATTTTTCGATCATTTTTTATTCATGGAAAAAAGACACGTGCTATATGTATTTTTTTGTGGCTTAGTTAGGCTAACTTTATTATTAATTTCAAAGTTTAATGTGATCGATATGATAGATAATCATAGTATTCATTTAAAATAATAAAAAAAACGTTTATAAGAAAAAATTACAATAATAAATAACAACATAAACGAAAGCATCAAAAAAATCCAAAGAGAAATTTCTATTTGATTAAATGGAAGAAATAGAAAAAAATAAAGAAAATTAAAATTGCCTATTATTATTAAAAGATGGATTAATTAAGTAACAAATAAGCTGTTAAAGAATTGATCAATGCAAATTAAAACCTATATTATATTCACTCCACATCAGATGATTTTAATTACAACAGTTTGATCCTGTACTAGATTTAGGACTTTTGTTATCCAATTCAAGCCTTTTGTTTTGAGTGTTTTGTTGTTCTTGTGCATGTGTATCAATAAGTCTCTTTTTAATATCTCTGCAATAATATAATTATCAAACAAATATGAACTTCAAATTTTTTAAAAAAACAAAATTTTGAAATCTTAATTTTTATAATTCCAAACCTGGCTAAGGTAAAGAACGCTTCTTCAACATTGATATTTGCTTTGGCACTTGTTTCCAAGAATCTAATACCAAATTCATCCGCAAGTGCCTGACCTTGTTCTTTTGTGATTGCCTAGAAATATGATAATTTTATCACGTAGAAGAAATATTAGAAACATATTAAATATATTAATTCTATTCGACTTAATTTTAACTTGATGATACCTTTTTTTCAACCCAATCACATTTATTTCCAATAAGAATTTTATTAACACCTTCACTAGCGTGTTGTTCTATATTAGAAAACCAATTTCTTATGTCTTAATATTTCAAAAAAAAAAAAAAAAATTAAAGAAAATAATTAATTTGAAAAATTTCAATAAATCTTTTCACGAGAGAAAAAGGATACTCTTAAATGACCGCTCGTCAGTGACATCATACACTAGAAGTATACCCATAGCACCGCGATAATATGCTATAAGGTGATCACATATAAAAGTATTAATATAAAGTTTAGAAATAATAAAATGGGAGCTTGTCAATAAACATTAACTCATAAAAACTTTTTTTTTTAGATTCCTCCCTTTCTATTGACAAGCTCCCAAATAATGACCTAAAAAAAAATTGGAATTAGTAATTAATACCTGTAGTGATTGTACGGAAACGTTCTTGACCAGCAGTATCCCAAATTTGAAGTTTGATTCGTTTTCCGTCTAATTCGATCGTCCTAATTTTGAAGTCGATGCCAATGGTAGTGATAAAGGATGGAGTAAACGAGTCGTCGGAAAAACGGAGTAACAAACAACTTTTGCCAACACCTAAATTAAATTATTCGAAGTTTTAAATAAGAAATGTATATTGATGTTATAAATTTTCAATAAATTCAAAAAAAAAAAAAATAGTTTTTTTGAAAGTTATTAAACACCAAAAAAAACAATACTCTTTACAAAGTAGATGATAACTTTTTTCTCAGTATTAAAATGTTCATAAAGAACTAAAACGGGTACTTTACCAGAATCTCCGATCAAAAGAAGCAGCAAACCGACGTCTAGCTGAAATGTTGAATGTCGAAAGTCCTCCAGGTAGCTAAATCAAATCAATTCGTA